TAGCTAAATAAACCAGCATATATATATATATATAGATAGATAGATAGATAGATATACAAAAGGGCATTGCCCCCTCAGATCTGATTTGTGCCCCCCAGGTTCATTTTATCCCCCCTCCACCACTGAAAAGCGATAGTTTTTAACCCTTTGACGCAACCGCTTGGTTCGCTTATGCCTTGGGCCGGCTCTGGGTAGCTTCGGCCAAAATTTTGGTGCATCCCTATTGCTTTTAGGCTTCTTTTTAGACTTTGTTGAAGATATGATTTGATTGTATAGAAAAGATGGCAGCAGCCTATTAATTATAAAAGTAGGTAGATGCCTCTTACTTGAAGTATAATTAAAGACAGATACTGTTTACATCACATATAAATAGCATAAACTTTTGTTTACGATAAGTGCAAATAGTGATAGAATATTTTAGCATAAAGAGTATAAGAGACATATATTGGGTAAATTCCTATTCAAAACAACTTCAGCAGAGTACCTGAAGAATTGTCATATAACTCTCCCTCTTGAATAACCTCAGTGACAGAGAGCAGCAATGCTTATGACTACTAATGCAAGCCGTGGGGTGAATCCAGGGCTGCGGGTCTGGAGATGCAGATGAGCTCCCAAGGGCAAAAAGATACATGAGTTTAACATGCAGATTACATGCTTCATATTCCATCATGATGACATGCTGGACAGAGCTGCTGACAGGAAGTAAGTGAACTGTGTGTTTGATTTCAAAGTCAGACAACATCCTACACTGTGTACTACATGTACTACCCCTAATCTAAAACAAATTGCAGAAAAAGACATTTGAAATGTATAAATGATGATTATTATAATGTATTATATTATAATAATTATATAAGACTAAGAAATAATACTACACACCTAAGTCACACATAAAAAACTCTGAATCACACTACATTAGAGTAAAACATACTTATTCCTCTTAAAGTAATTTATATATTTTAAACCAAACAAACTTTCTGAAAAGTATGACTTGAAAAGTAATTCTACCATCTTCTTAAAATAAATGCCATTTGTTTTATATTGAGTTATATAATGCAAAGTCAAGCATTTTTAAATGTGGCATAAGTGTCCGAATACATTTGGACATATATTTATCTACTTGCTCTAAAATGATACAAAATGCCATTCTGGGACATGAAATGGACAGTTTGAAATAACTGATTCATGGAAATGAATCAAACTTCCCAACTCTATCAGCACTTTTACAACTGAGATTAAATCAGACACGCCATTATAATATCGCTGTCTTAGCATTCTCAAAATCACAAGTCATGACACAAAATCAGCCTACTGGCACAGGCCTAAAAAACCCTAATGACTGAATATCATCACAATGTTCATGATGTTGCTCCATTTCATATCGCCAACACACACACACACACACACACACACACACACAAAACACTGAATATTGCAAATATTTAATATATCACCCAACCCTAGCAGCCAGTAATGGATCTGAACTGTCAAACCAAGCTAGTGGTGAGACTTTATCAACCAACAGAAAGAAACTGAGGAGTCCTGCAAGTATCTGCTAAACTTTCAGCCTCTATACAGTATGTGTGTGATCAAGTTTAATTTACTAGTGAATCAGAGCAGAAAAAGGAACAAATTTAGAAAAGCAGCCCACAGTGAAGAAGGGAACCAAGATACGAGAGTTAGTGGATGATGTGGCTCTTCATTAAGAGCGAGACACACTTTTCTTCACCTATTCAGTCTATTCAGCACACTCCCATGCCAGAAGTCTTTCTAACCTGTCTGTCTCTTTCTCTCGGTATCTCTTTGTCCAGTCACCATGGCCTTTTCTCAAGCCACATAATAGAGCCCAGAGCTCAGAGAGGTCAGAGAGCTCTTTAATTGGGTTTCAAGGTGTCTTCACACAGTGTGCGATTGTGCGGATGGCCATCATTAGGCTGTGAGTGTTTGTACACTCTAATAGTGTATTATTGTCACCCCTAACGGCGTTCAGACGCAGGAGGAACTGAAAGGAAGCTTCTGAATGCACCACACATCAGCAGACTTCCTGCCTTTTTCTTATTTCTTCATTCAGATGCTCATAGAATGAAGGCCACCTCTACTCTCTGTCACAGTCCAAATAACTCTCTGCACTTTTCTCGCTCATACAAACCAACCGGCGTGCTGTGCAAAGCCCCGGTGCATTGTGGGAATGTTTTTGAAAGCGGCAGCAGTCACAATACCCAAACAGCCTCATCACGGTCAGCGCTGTCACCCTTGATGTTCTCTACAAAAAAAAAATTGTGTCATATTGACATGAAAATGCAACACCTAGCCACCTCTGCTAAGAGACACTCAATTGCAGCAGAATAACTAAATTATTAGTGATTTATTTAATGGTAGTTTGTATATAACTAACAATTCATTTTTTCTTATTAAGTAATGCTTTCATTCTACTATTATTTATCAATTATTTTTTGCTTTGTTGACATTTCAGCATTATCATAGGCACTTAGGCTACGTTCACACTGTCGGTATACCTTGAAACCGGTAATCGGCCCATGCCTAGCCACTTCCATATGTGGTACTAAATCCGATACAGGTCAGACGTTTTGCAATGCGACCGCAGTGTGAACAGTCATATCGGAATTAATGCGACTTTTACGTCACTCTAGATCAACATTCGTCACGATTCTGCACTCATGGGAGTCACTTCAAAGATTTTACATACCCAAAGCTATCAAGACAGTTGCAAAAGTAAGTCAGTGGAGTACAGTGACGTGTCAGAACTCATATGTATTGCAGTGACAACTCTATATACAAGCAAAACATGTACTGTATATAGTGCTCGTATCATAAAAGTTTCAAAACTCTGCTCTCTTCTGTCACATCCTTGTCTTTATTTTTCATATTGCCAGTGCATAATTTCGCTGGCTTCTGCGGCAGATCATACTATAAATAAACGCATAATCGCTTACTTTATGTTTACTTCCGCATGACGTGCACTGCGCAAGTGTTGCCAAGTCCACAGATTTCCAGCAGAATTGGGCAACTTTTTAATCGTTGCCCTGGGTTGTTTTTCAACTCTGTGGGTTAAAGCGACCCCACTAACGCGATATATAACCCCCAGAACGCGATTGGGCTAGTTTTGGACTAGTTTTGAGAAGTAATTGGGCAGATTTTGTTGTGAAAACCTAGCAACCCTGTTCGTATTGTTCTTTTGCGCATGCGGGTCAGTTCAGATCCATGATCTGTTCACACTGGAAATCTGATATTGGCCACATTTAAAACAACAATGTGAACAGCTATACAAAAAAAATCGGATCGGAGCAAAAATCGGAATTGAGCACTAAAGCTCGCAGTGTGCACGTACTCTTAGACATGTCATAAAAAAACTGTTGCAACAAAACATCAGTATTAAATACACTAACAATTAAAAAGAGAATTTTAAAACATTTAAAATTTAATAAAATATAAATAATATTTCAAATATACATTTTTTATTTAAACATATTAAATATATAAATTACCAATCTAATATCTCATATTTCTAGTAATAATTATTTTTCTCTTGCAACAAAACATCTGTATTAAACAGACCAACAATTAAAAATAGAATAAAATAAAATAGAATATTCAAAAATTGCATTTAAAAATGTAAAATATACAAATTACCAATCTAATATCTCTTATTTCTAGTAATTATTATTTTGTTGTTCAACAAAACATCAATATTAAATAGATCAACAATTAAAAATAAAAGACTGGGACCTCCAGAAATGCATTCAAATATACTAAACAAGTAAAGCTATCAAATTAAGTGTTGTTTTAATCAACTGACTTTATGTATGTGCATCATTCACATGCATTCATAATATAATCAGCCCACATGAGTTGTAATCCCTGCATGAATGCTAAAAGAAAAGCTAATCTCACTTGTAAACTGACCTATCAGAATGAATATTTAAATTAAGCAATGTCATCATCCCTAAAGGGAGAATAATGATATGTGTCACCTTCCAAACATTATCAGAAGTAACTTTTTAAAACCTGCTTTCAAGCATGTTTACGGTTAACAAATCAAGTGGAGAGAGTAACGTTCATATTCAGCCCAAATATGAAGTCAAAATAACTGAAGGATCTCAAAGCAAATGAAACACTGAACAATAATATAAATTTGCCATAATGGGCCCTATCATACACCTGGCGCAATGCGGCGCCAGGCGCGACGCAAGTGTTTTTTGCTAGTTTCAGCCCGACGCAGTTGTCATTTTCACGTCCTGTGCCACGTTGTTTAAATAGCAAATGCATTTGCGCCCATTTGTGCGCCCATGGGCGTGCTGATCTGAAAACGAGGTGTGTTCAGGCGCATTGCTGGCGAATTGCTATTTTGAGGCAACTGAAATAGACTGCGCCATTGACCAACAGAAACCTGGTCTAAAATCTGGCGCAATATTTTTTCTTTGTTATTTAAAGAGCGCGTTAGTAATATGTGCCTATAGATGGGTGCACAACGCGCGTAAACTTTGCTTATTACACACACAGGGACACGCAGCAGCACACAAACATTTTTAAAAATGAAAAATTAAATTCCGCCATGTAAATAGCGAACCCGCCATGGCGCGAGCGCAACTGGCTTTTAAAGGGGATGGGAGATGAGACTCTGATTGCCCAAAAAACACATTGCTTCTCAAGTAAAAGAAAAAATATGTCAAAGATGTTTCGAAATTTTTACTTGAAAACAACAAACTTATTGAGTAAAAAAAAAGATTTTTACCCTTATCTGTGTTAAAATTACTAATGAAATCTCTATTGCTTTATAGTGTTCAGCCATACATTATGTATTTGAGCAAAATGGTTTTGCTATTGCTAAAGCACTGGATTTATCATGGGTACTTTGATTGCTGCACTTTAGGCTGTTTGGATTGTGTTTCCACGGGCCTTGGAGGTCTCAAGTGAATCAAAAGCCAGAAGTGATCTGTGAAGATGCTTTTCTGGTGCTTCTGCTTCACATTGTGCCAAACAAACAGTGGCGGCTGGTCGGGGGAGGCAGGGAAGGCACAGCTTCCCCATAATTTTGAGGTGAAAATGGGAGGAGGACGATTTAATGTTAATAAAATTCACAATTCATTTTAGTTCATGTCTCAGAATGTGTATTTTTTGTTTGTAATTTCACAGTTGTAATACCATAACGTGAAAGCGCCGCTTTTCTATCGCGAATGTGCCGAATCTGCTGATGTAATTGCAACCGCTAGGTGATAGAGAAGGGGAGAGGGAGGCCGGGGGAGAGGTGAGCTCTCGTGCCTCCGTTGGTAAAAGAAAATTAGCCAATCAGCATCAAGTGTTCACTTTCAGCGCTGAGGAGTGTTGAGAAAAGAACCCTCATAAGGGAGGCTAGCCTCCCTTCTGATATCAACCAATCATCAGAGACGTAAATTACGTGATATTAGTTTGAACGTCTGCCGCTGCGCTGATAATGTACCAAGTACTTATGAGTAGCTATATTCAATATTTGATTGATTGATCTGTCTAAAAGACAGAGTGCTAGGTAATATGAGCTTCTAAAGCAGAGCATTAAATATGCTCTAGACAGCTCAGAGAATGGAGAGCACTACTCCTGAATAAATAACCAAACAAACAACAAACTATCAGCCAATCTACAAATCAGCGCTGTCAGAGAGAGAGTGGAGATAATAATATACACGCACACACCACAGGCGTGTGTATTTATGGGTCCCAACTGTCCTCTCCTCTTTCTTTCACGTTCACACACACACACACACCACACTGAGAGAGCTCTGTTTATCACTCTTACAATCACACAGACCAGACCGGGGATGGTTTCTGTGCTAGTTACTCACCATAATATAACTGTGTACATAGTCAACCGCCTTCTAAGAAAGAATAATAACAAAAATACAACCTCATGAACTCAAGAGACTGATTTGAAGCTACTGTTTAGCACTGAATAAATTCAATTCAATATGTTTTGTATGGCAATTTCTACAATACAAATCATTCCAAAAGCAGCTTAATAAAGAATCCTACCCAACAAGATTCAAAACGATCATGTCAGTCCAGTTTTATTTTCTGTACACTTCTCAAGGAATTCACTGCAATGCATTTTGGGATTGACTAATCTACTAAATACATAAAATACCAAAGTTTGTGGTCAGTAAGACTTTTTAAAAGTCTCTTAAGCTCACAGAGACTGCATTTATTTGATAAATATACTGTAAAAATAGCAATATTGTGAAAAATACATATTTTTTATTTAATATTACTGTTGTCTATTTGAATATATTTTAAAATGTAATTCATTCCTGTGATGCACAGCAGAATTTTCAGCATCATTACTCAAGTCTTCAGTGTCACATGATCCTTCAAAAATCATACTAATATACTGATCTGGTGCTCAAAAAAGATTTCTTATTATTAACATTTCTTATTTTGTTGAATAGTTATGCGGCTCGATATTTTTGTGGAAACAATGACATTTTCCAATATTTTTTTTGATGAATAAAAGTTAAAAAGAACAGCATTTATTTGAAATAGAAATATTTTGTAAAATTATAAGTGTCTTTTACTGTCACTTTTTTATATCCGTTTAAGGTGCCTTTGCTGAATAAAAAATATGCTTTCTCTCAAAGAAAATAAAAATTTTACTGACCTCCAACATTTGAATGGCAGTGTATGCAAAGAATAGATAAAATTAAGCAAATACTTAACATTTGGCCAAATGAGGTCTTACAAGAAATCATAATTTTGCTGTCTACTGTTTGAAAAATAGAAGTGAGTAGGCCTATGATTCCTAAAAATGCTGTCTAGGTAGGCAGCTCACTAGTGTTTGTAGAACGCTCCTCCTGCACTCCGCTTTAACCTGGTCAAAGAGCAGCTATGAAAGGTGACAGAGATGATTAGAAGTCATCGGTGGCTTTTTCTGTCTCCACGCACACAGAGAGAATGCTTTTTCTAGTCAGTGTTTTCAGCAGGTCAGATGACAGCTGTTTGTAGCGCCTGAAGCCAGCATGGGTGAGCTAAACGAGCAAATCTGAGGTGTAGGAAAAACATCATCTAAAGTGACAGGACATTTTTTCTTTCAGTGGACTGTCCTTCTGCTCTAGCCGTTTGACCTTAAAAGAACCCATAACAAACATCACAGAAATAATAATCAGTGGACTGATTTATGCTTCTTTTTGAATATGTTCATATGCTTAACAACAACTGTCTGTCAAAGAGATTGAATAATGTATTTTTATTAGTTTTTTGCTTACATTTTTGGGAATACTTCACCCAAAAATGCCAGTATTTACTCACCCTCGTGTCATTCCCTATATTACTTTATTTTCATTCAGTGAACACATACAGTATTAAGCAGAATATCCAGGCTTCTCTTTTCCATGTAATGGAAGTAAGAACTGCAGCTGACAAAAATCAAATAATGACAGTGTAAAAGTACCCTTTACTACTTCTGAAACATTGTGTCATGAAATTATGAGAATTTAGACTTCACGAAAATCCTCCTCTTCGCTGTTGATCTACAGGGGAACATGTTCTGTCCCATGGAAGAGAGTCATATGGGATTAAGGCATGAGCGAGAGTAAATGATAATCATTTTGGTGTGAGCTTCAGTCTTCAAGATTTTACCATTTTTAAATGCATATTGAAAAATTCCACACATATTACCCCACAATCAGCACATGTAGGCTGACTTGCTTTGTTGTAGTCAGTCAAAAAGAAACAAAAATAGTATTTCACACATGCATTCGTTCAAAATAACACGCAGCAACTGCAGTTCATTCATTAACAACATGAGTGATTATCTGTGATGAAACAAAATGCCAAAATCAGGGGAAAAAAGCCTCTTATCTGGGTCAGAACCAAAGCGTGCAGCAGTGAACTAGCAGTCGATCAATCATTGGCCTGTGTGCAGAGCAGTTTGATTGATTGGGAAACAGATTTTCGCCTGCATGTTTCTGGCTCTGGGCCTCGTACGGGGCCTCTGGTGCTGGTGTAGGCTTTCCAAACCATTACCCTGACCTGAGCAATGACTGACCCATGCTTACTGCTGACCTGAAGGGCCGCTGAAGCAGAAGAACCCAGAAGAACATGTGGTTTGCTCCAGATAACAAGTAAATATGAATACATTAAGCAGAGCTCACAGGAAAATGCAGGCCGGCTCATTCAACCCTCAGACAAGGATCTGTCAGAGCTATAAAGCATGCTAACTTCCCCGATGAAAACGCTATGGCTCAAAGGATGCTCTTCATAGTTAAGAAAAATTAATGGAGTTAGTTATTGTTAGAAGCAACTTCATTCTCAAGTTTCAAAAATATTCTAGAAAAATATAGATAGACAGACAAACAGGTAGATAGAGATGATGATATAACAGAAAGACATAACCAGTCCAGTCAGATAGAAATGAAGATCACACATCTCCTCACCAAGGTGCACAATTTTAGAACAAACTTCCAGTCTTCATTACGAGTGATGCTGCCTTATCAAACACTAATAAACTGTGTGTTTGTGGAAGTGGGCGTTCAGAATCACATGAACCGGTGATTTCACAGCAGCTGAAAGCTCAAAGGTTCCACTTTAAAGTGTCTGTTAAAAGGCATCCAGTGTTCTTCCAGAACCCACGGTCAGAGTTGATCTTCCCTTAACATGAAGCCAAAAAGCTCTCTCTCCCCATCAGAGCAAAGCTAGGGAAGTGCTCTTCTTCTGTTTTTAAAGCTTTGTGTACATGGTGTAAACACGAAGATCACAGAGATGGAGCCGTGACACTTCTGAGCGGCAGCACCGAGAGGAGGGTTTGTTTGCGCTCTTCAAATGTGTAATTAACCAGCATTAAAACACACTCACTTTTCAAACCGTGTGTCCTCGATGACTTTTGAGAGAGCAGAGGGAAAACGAGAGACAGAGACAAAGAGGGGGAGCAGAGAGACAGAGAGTGAGAGAGCGGCAGGGAGAAAGAGAGAGACGGACAAACAGAGGTCACATAGCCACTGCAAAGTTTTGAAAGTAACAACAGCATATATCTAAAGGAGTAAATTCGCAGAGTTACTGTTCTGTGTATAAATAAAATAAAATAAAATAAAATAAAATAAAATAAAATAAAATAAAATAAAATAAAATAAAAATCCACAAACATTATGTGGGAATGTCTCATTTATTTGTGCTTGCTGAGTAGTTCAGTTAGTAGATTCAGTGTTGCTATTGTTAAATATAACTAAAACTAGAACCATTCAAAGTAGGGGTGTTATTTTTATTGACAAAAAATTATATCTCGATATTTTCTGGGATTTTATCGATAACGATAATTAGACGATATGTTGCTGAGTGTGTTATTGTGAATGTTTTGATATATTAAACATAAAACGTTGAATACTGATATTTGAAATGATTTAAAACATGAAAAAAATCAACAAAAAAAAAAAGAAAATAAAGAAAAAGACGAAATTTGAAATTAAAACCGCCAGCAGTTGGCAGCAAATCACTGTTAATAAGTGAGTCATTGCGATTGAACCGAATCAAATGTCAAATCGCACATCGTTAAAACAACAATTACGATATTATCGCAGACGATATATATCGCACACCCCTAATTCAAAGCCATTTTTATTAATTTAAATAATTCAATAAATAAATATTTAAAAAATAGGAATGTTGCCTTGGTAACTAAATACTGAGGTGACTAAAAATTACAAAGTAAAACTGAAATTAAAATAAATTAAAGCTACATATTTAATATTAAAATATTTAAAAAAAAAAACTAAAAATGAAAAAAGCACATAACAAAATTACTAAAACCTAAACCAAAATTAAAAATTAAACTTATAAACACAAAAGCCAATTCAAAATGATTAAATACTGTATAATAATAATAATAATAATAATAATAATAATAATAACAACAACACTGTTTTGGCTAAACAGTCCTGGATTTCTGGCAAAAAAAAAAAAAAAAAACCTACACCTACAGATTAGGTGGGTGAGTAGTTATACAGTTGGACATACTACTCTGATTTATGTTTATATATTGAATTTGGTTATTGAATGTGGTTGTCACTTCCCTTAATAACTGAATTTGTGTGTACAGAGCAGCTTAAGCATTTAGAAGAAATGG